TACTCAATGACTTTCTGAGAAATTAAGAGAAAGCCTTAACCTAGTTCTAAGTTGTTGTTATTATAGTTACCAAAGAGTTTATCAAGTTAATCACTTCGTTTCGTCTTGCGTTTAGTAGTTAAGGCTTGTCAATCAAGGCAGGCAAAGCGGCAAAAGTCTTAGTCCATACAGCTTAGTCTGATGTGTATTTTATTAAACATTTTTTTTACAATATGCTGATACTCCTTCAATTGCTCACTCTTTATAATCTCTAAGAGCATTACTTTAAAAGCTGTTTAAGTGCACTACTTTTTATGTTGACAAGCAAATCTTAATTATATACAAAGTAATAAAAATCTCAAATCATTTATGTCTAATGACTTAGAAATAATAAATATACAATACCCTCGGCTCCTGTTTTCAACTTTCGCTCAAAATTAATTCAAGTACAATATAATTTTGATACACTGCGATTTGATGGTTTTACGTAAATAAAAAGACGCTTGTATTAAATGTACGTGTTTGAATCCTCCAAATTTTAAGTGTGACGCCTAAACGACTGCAACAACATCGTCTTTATGAACCCGCGAATTATTCAATTCAAGCCTGAGCGTAATTGAAAGATTTGTCCAATCCCGACCCGTGTCAACTGATATCCTTCCTGCGTACGAAGAGTGGGACCCCGGATCAAAATAAACAATGAACAAGCTGACACATATTTCTTTTATAAATTAAAGTGACAAATGGACTGGTAACTGGCTACCACAGTCAATGAGAACTCAACCAATTTCAAACAAAAATAATACAGATGCGTTGTCACCTCTGAGGAGTCACCTTCGTCATCTCTCAAGGCAAAATGTCCTACAGCCTGTAAGTAAGCTCTATATACTTCAGACCGAAAGTCAGAGATGTGCGCGTGCTGCTGGTTTGACTTAATTGTTTAATAATTTGTTTGGAAACAGAAACAAAAACTAAAATCTTTTATTCAATATGTGTTATAAATGATACTTATTGAAAGTCCCCTTTTTTACATTTACCACTGGTTCGCAAAAAAACCTCTGTCCTGGGAAGAACCAGCAAAAAATCCATGTAGACAATTTTTTTTAAATAGCAGCTTACAATCATGTATGTTACAATTAACAACACAAAACAAATTAGAAATAGCTTGGCAGCGATCACCCTTCCCAGGGGTTATTATCATACCTAAATTACTTAATATTATAATACAGACCCTTTTTATACAGACTTAGTTTAACAACATTTTTGAACTTCGTGTATGTCAAATTTTGTATTTCTGGGATTTTGTTGTAAAAGTGCCCCAAGATTGAATTACTGACTCAGTGGAGTCGAGTAACAGGTACTACTAGCTTGTGTCTGTTTCTAGCATTTACAGAATGAATATCACTTGTTTTTGCAAAACTGCTTTCATCTTTATGTACGTACATTACGTTTTCATAAATATATTGAGAGGCCAGAGTTACTATATTAATTTCCAAAATTTTTTGTCTGAGCGATTATTTAGGTTTTAATCATATATTGCTCTGATGGCCCTCTTCTGTTAATCAAATATAATTTCAGTGTCATTCGCGTGTCCCCATAGCAAAATACCATACGACATTATGCTATGAAAATAGCTAAAGTAAACTGGTCTAGCCGTTTCAACACTGGTAAGAATTCTAATCTTTTTTGCAGCATAAGCTGCAGAACTAAGTGTGCTAGCTAATTTTGATATATGGGGGACCACACAATTCTTTGGTAGATTTAATTTTATTCTATACTTATTGAAACTCATGTTTTAGCCGACTTCAAAACAAGAGGAGATTTTCAATTCGAATGTTTGTTTTTCGTATGTATGTAACGCGAAACCCGATTATGAAGATTCTTTTTTTTATTAATAAGTTCCTAATACTTCAGGGGTACGTATAAGTTTCGAGACAAAATTTTTCCTTATTTTTTGTTTGGATAATACCTGTAAGCAATCCGAAACTTTTTTTGTAAACAGTCAAAACACTATAAAAATTATTTGTTTTGATATATTGTAGATGTTTAATAGATTAAAGTAATGAATACGCATTACTTTCTGAAAATCTAACCATAATGTGTTCTGACGTTTGCGTAAAAAATAGGTACAAAATTTTCCTGGAAATAATGGTATTCAACGTGCAAGGTGGTGTGGATACTCTTAAAACACAACAATACAATAATTATAGATAGAACTTATTTTGGAACTTTACAAAATCTGCCGCGATTTACCGCATTAAAGGTGGACCGATAAAAATTAGTAATTGGGCTTTTGGTTGAAAACTAAATTTTGGTTAGAAAAACACCCTAAAAAGAGTAATTAATATAGGGAATGAAAAATTGTACGAAAATACGTAATTTTAAGTAAATAAAAATGTGTATTTGGGCTCTACCTTAATAACTAATAGACACGTGTTTAGTATTTGGCAATCCTACTCGTCATCATCATCATCATTCATCATTACAGCCCTTTACAAGTCCACTGCTGAACATAGGCCTCCCCCAAGTAATGCCACAAAGCACGGTCCTGAGCCACCTGCATCCATCGACTTCCTGCATGTCGTACCAGGTCGTCACTCCATATAGTGGGGGGTCGCCCTACACTTCGCCGGTACGAGGCTGCCACTCGAGAACCTTTTTTCCCCAACGGTTGTCGGTTCTTCGAGCTATATGGCCGGCCCATTGCCACTTCAGCTTACTAATCCGTTGGGCTAGGTCGGTCACTCTGGTTCTACTGCGGATATCCTCATTTCTAAGTTTATCACGCAGAGAAACTCCGAGCATAGCCCTCTCCATAGCTCGCTGAGCGACTTTAAGCGTCCTCATACGGCCAGCAGTGAAGGACCACGTTCAGTCACTCACGATCACTCAGTTCCATATGTCATCACTGGCAACACGCATTGGTTGTACAACTTAGTTTTGAAGTTTTGAGGTATACCTGACGAGAAGATGCGTTGTAATTTCCCGAACGCTGCCCAGCCGAGTTGAATCCGTCGATTGACCTATCGGTCGAAGTTGGACTTACCTAGCCGGACTATTTGTCCCAGGTAAACGTACTCGTCAACAACTTCGAGCTTAGTGCTCCCAACAACTACCGGCATAGGTGTGACATGGACATTAAACATGATCTTTGTTTTGTCCATGTTCATCTTAAGACCTATCCGTTGGGAGGCACTATTGAGGTCATTGAGCATAGTGCTTAAGTCTTTCAGCGATTCTGCCGTAAGGACTATATCCTACTCGTAATGGGGTAAATTAAAGGATGAAAGATTGTTTATAAAACTCCTATGATTTAATTATATCTTTGACTAGCGATTCACCCCGCCTTCGCACGGATGATTTCTGGATTTCGACAACAGCTCCACGTACCGGGTCCAATTGTGAATCTAATCCATCCAGGGACCTAATCCACTCAATCACACACAAGAAATTCACAGAATCGGTTTAATCAGTTTCGAGTTTTAACTAGACTAAGAGGCAGCAGTTGATATATACACACACACACACATATATATATATATATATATATATATATATATATATATATATAGAGAGAGAGAGAGAGAGATATAACACTGTTATAAGCTTACGAATAGAAACTAGGCAAAACTAGCTTAAGGGTTTTTGATACTCCACACCTAGAGGAATAATATGGAATGAAGGCTATTATAAAACTGTAAACTATTTGATGCGTTTATCAATGAATAAATCGCATAACCCATATATTCTTTCTTGTACACCAATACAAATTGAAACAAAAACAACATAAACTAACTGAAGAAGGAGTGATGAAGGCGGTCTTATCGCTCTGGAAGCGATTTGTTCCCGGCAACCTTTTGCGTAAAGAATTGTTTACAACGAATAACTAGAAGGGAGGTGTGAATAAATTATATAATTAAAAATTAAAAAACACACACAAGATTAAACAGTTGATGAAAGAAGGATAGAGACAAAAAGGACAAAACATATTATGGGAAATATTAAAAAGTTCCAAGTAATAGGATCTGAGTAGATTTTTGAAGGAAAATAGGCATTGAACACGGCGAATGTGTAGACTGTAGGGACAGGGTATTCCACAAGCGATGAATGAAATGTCATATACTCGTACAGTTAGAGTGGTTTTGAGCTTGAGCTTATAGATTAAGTAATTAGCTTGAGATATGAGATCACATAATACGGAGAGGTCAAGCCATTTGTCTGAACATTACAACTTAAAGCTCATTACAATGCTTTTTAAATACTATTTTTCTCGGAGAAAAGAATAGTTCACAACATTGAAATACGTAGTACCAAAACCCAATTGAAATATACTAAATGAACTTTGCATATATTGTGGGATTTTGTTTTAAAAGCGTAAACATTGCCCATGAACCATGAATGAATTACTGAGTCTGTGCAGTCGAGTAACTGGTATAACTTACTTATTTGTTCCTAGCATTTACAAAATGTACATCATTTGTTTTTCAAAACTGCTACCGATCAATGTGTTTTATTTATTTCCACTTTTGTGCACAAATGTGTAGTATATTTATGGAGGTAATAATGCCTTAAGCCATTTTCTCCCCCAGTCAATCGTTAGGCATTATTGGTAAAATTCCAGTGCCAATTTAGCTTTGGTGTGCAGGTTGTACGCAGCATCGCCAGTGAGCATTAATTGCTATAGCAATAATTATTATTTTTCGGAGCTGGACTTATATATGAAGAACACTGGAACAGATTGTTAGGTGTAAAAGTGGCCTAACTACTTTTCATAAAATGTAACTTACCGCTACTTAATTTTTAATGTAAATAAAAGTTTTATTTGTAATTTTTTATAAGTATTATTTCCGTTTCCGCATCCGTTTCTGTTTCCGTTTCTGCAAAAAATATTTTTAACATCTGTTTCCGTTTCTGCTTCCGATATGACACTTCCGTTGCATCACTATAAAAAAGAAAAGGTTCTCCGAATATGTTCCTTCTATAGGATAAGTGTTAAGTGATAAACTAGTGGTACATACACAATGGACGCATATGGCTTAAGAATCTTGCTTACGGTAATCTTTTGAGTAATTTTCGATTTTTTTCGAGGTTTAAGTTCAGACGTAACCTCACATACGTTTACGGAAACGAATCTGCTGGCCGTAACAAACGGATGTCTTTCGGCTGCCGGACACATAACGTCAATTGGGTCAACGACGTCGCCGTCGCGGCGGCTACCATCGATCCATCACCCGCGCATGCGTGCAACAACAACACCAAAATCAACCTTAAAACAAATGCAACTAGGTTCAATTCCTTCAGTTGCCTTGAATATTCGCTGGCACTGCACATTCCGTCGCAATTTTATTTCTGCGGTATCGAGCACTCTTATTCTCTTCAGTTTTAATGACGTGTTTTGTTTAGTAAACTTGAATAAACATTGTCTGAACGTAACTCCTCAACTATTTTACAAGGCATTTCGATTCGTAATGCGTTTCTTGTAGACTTTCAATAGCTTAGCTATTAGAATGAAATAAAATATTAACTTCGGCTGCCGTGTTCTTGGCAATTATGAATGTTCATTTACGTACATGCCATCGATCGAGACAAAAGTATTTCCCGTCTTTTTATGTTATTTTATAACAGACCGGTATTCAATTTGCCTGTAATTTTTCCTTCCTTGTGAGATCACTAGGTTGTTTTTCTTTATATCTTAAGGATGACAAACGAGCACACAGTCCACCTGATGATATATGAATGTAATGGCGCGTAGTTGCCATCCCTGAGGACTAAGATATAATGCCTCTTTATCAGTCAAAAGTACCTCCAATTTTCTAAACTCACCATACGAAACACAGAAGCATTGTACTGTTTTACGTTAGTATTCTGTAAGAACGTGGTCCTACCCGGCCGTGTCGACTCAATCGTGCTTCGTGTATAACCAGTATAGCTGTAGCGTGGCTCAACCGCGTTAAGTAAACACAAATAAACACATGATCTAATAAAGTCAATCCGGCTAATAAAACCTGTTCGCCTTGTTTAATTTAGGGTTAGAGAGTGTTACTCCATACCTGTACTGATTGTAAAATGATTTTATTGACGGTTCCGTGACGCAGTAGCTTAACAATGAGTTGTAGCGCTGAGCGCCGCGGGTTCGAATCCAGCATGGAAAGTATTTGTATAGGCTACAAGTAATTGTTCTGGGTCTGGATGCTTGTCTTTGTGCAATTTATGTATGTAAACTGCCTCCACGATACAGGAGAAAATCCTAGTGTTCCTAACGTTTTTAAAAAAACTTGACTTAATGAATAGAGTACATACATCGAGAGTTGTTCCATTTAAATTACAGAAAAAATTACACTACTAACAGTAGAAAAATACAAACGACAGCAACGGTGATGCCTTATACACCGGCCAATATTTCTCGAGAAAACGTTGCCGAGTACGACGAGTCAATGAGTAAGTCGATACCTTGTTGAACAAAGTCTCGGACTGAGGGCGTCTAAATCTAGTCCAGGTTAATCCCCAGAAGACACAAGTTTGCACGTTTACCGCTAAAAAGAACCCCTTCGTCATATATCCTCAGTTTCAGGGCATTCCCCTTGTTGCCTCAGCCAGTATCGGAATCCTGGGCGTCGACATATCGAGTGACGTGCAGTTTCGTGGTCACTTGGTAGAGAAGACCAAATTGCCCTCTAAAAAGCTTTGCGTGCTCAGCAGAGCGAGACAGTGTTTTATGCCGACACACCGTCAGCAACTTTACAAGGTGCATGTTCGTCCTCAAATAATTACTGTTCCCATCTCTGGGCTGGGGCTCTACAGTGCCAGCTCCTTTCATTTGATTGCATCCAGCGCAGAGCTGTTCGAATCGTCGAATTTCCCGACAAAACTCACCACTGGATGAATGGCGGTCTACCACTGTGCGATTTAAAAGAAGTTTTATTCCTCGCACAACTTCCTTTTGGAATCTACTACCACCAGAGATTTTTCCAAACCGATGCGACTTAGGGACCTTCAAGAAAAGAGCCTATTCCTTTTTAAAAGGCCGCAACACATCTGCAATTCTCCTGGTGTTGCAGTTGCTCATGGGCGGTGGTAATCACTCACCATCAGGTGAGCCGTATGCTCGTTTGCCCCCTCTTCTAACAAAAAATGAATAATTTTAATGTAACTATATATTTAGACAACATTCTAATTGAAAGCCTTGAGCTTGTTCTATTGTTTAGTCTACACAAAGGGTTGAAAAAATTAAATTGAAAGTGTAAAACCGATCACAAAAAACTTAATAGAATCATATAATTTCCACATAATTTATCTGCTTCTGAAGAAGGAAAAAGAAAATCTGTAAATATAATTACATACTGTACTTATTAACATACATTTACTAGTTTCCCGGTTTTAAGCGAATTGGTGACAAACGAATACACAGTCCACCTAATGGTGAGTGGATGCTATGGTCTTTAGACATCTACATTTATCCTCGATTGAGAATCAAAATTTAGATGAGTTATTAGGACTAATATGGAATGCCTCGTTTCTAGTTAAAAGGGTCTCCGGTTCTCTATGCATACTATATAAAACACAGCAGCATTAAGCTGCTATTTTACGTGCTGATATTCTGTAAGAATACTCTCAATAGAGAGTGGTAAAGACCACGGTCATACAGAAAATTTCCAATTTTACAGGGACAGCTGATGTTGTTCGCGGGATGTGTCCCGGTGCACCGGGTGGCAGGGTTACCCTAGCGGAATAGATTATCAATTTTTACTTTGTATAAACATTTGTGACATATAACAAAATGATTTTTTAATTCGGCTACGGCTATCAACCGTGGAAAGCCTGGTTAAGTTGACCGGTCCTACAACCATAATATCACTGCAGCATATTTATAGCTATCTCGTTATCTTAAAATGTACGTGGTCTTTTGGCTATCTTTCTCTGTTACCCTAAGTTGAGAAGTGTAAGAATATCAACTACACCATATCCTCCCGTGGGTATCGTAAGAAGCGACAGAGGAAAAACATCAGGAGATGGGCACCACGTCTTGCTAATAATGCCTGAAAATAAAAAAATGCGGTTCTCAACCGCATGCTGAGCGTGGTAAGTACAGCAAATATCCCAAAGAGGCTATGGGGCTGTAACGGTTACGGTAAAGAGGATTAATATAAAAAATATAATATGAATATATAATTATACCAACATCATTATTACCAACGTGACCACAATAACTGCTACGTAAATGCTACGAAGCTACGGTTTTTCGTAGTCCATTTTTGGGTCTGTCATTTTAAAACAATATTAATAATAAATAAATAAAAGGTGCACGTTTTTGTTTACTTTAAGGATTTAGTTTATATTAAAATCTCGCTATAATGTAACGTTTGAGTCAGTGTTATTGTTTATTACGATTATATATTTTTGCTTTATTTCATAGAATAAGGGTGACAAACGAGCACACAGTACACCTGATTGTAAGTAGATGTGGCCCATAGATACCTACATCTATTTTTGATCAAGAATCAATATATAGAAGCGTTGTCATCCCTGAAGACTAACAATTAAATAATTGAATTCAAATTTAAGTGGTTATATGAGGAAGCACAATTTCGCTCAGCGAGCTATGCTCTGAGTTTCTCTGATAGACTTAAAAATGGGAATATCTGTAGTAGAACTAGAGTAATCGGCATAGCCCAACGGAGTGGGAGCCTAAAGTGACAATGGGCCGACTATATAGCTCGATGAACCGATAACCGATGGGGAAGAAAGGTTTTCGAGTACCAACCTCGTACCGTTACGCGAAGTGTAGGACAGCGTTCCACTAGATGGAATGACGACCTGGTAAGATATGTAGGACGTCGATGGATGCAGGTAGCCCAGGACCGTGCTTTGTGGTATTCCTTGAGGGAGTCCTATATTCAGCAGTGGATTTGTGAAGAGCTGTCATGAATTAATGATTTTAATAAAATTTTATTTTTTCCCGTCTGTTAGTCTGAATGGATTTAACCATTATAATTTGCAACAAATAAAATTTAAAATTCAAATAATATTCCGAATGATGACGACTTTATTCATTTTATCCGCCACCGCTACTCTCTTTCGCTGTTTAGACGCACCACTACGTCACTGTCTGTCCTTGTTTTACATGATCAATTCAAACTTTACGTATCATTGGTAAATTATAATATACCTAAACAATATTTTTTGTTTTTAGCAGGTACATGTCTGTAATAAATGTGTATTACGGAATCTATTAAATGTCAGTAAAGGCTTATTTTATATTCAGTGTTCAAATATTCTACTTTTACATTCAAGACGACCAAAATTAAATAATATATATGATAAACATTTATTTATTGCACATACTGTAGTCACATTTATATCTAAATTAACTAAAGCATTTTAGTTGTTGTTGACAGCAGACCCAAACTAGGTTTTTACATGGTAGAGCCATGCTTCAGCTATATTAATAATGTAGTTGTAGCACGAATGGTTGGGCTCGATCGGGGAAACACCACGCTCTTATCATCTGTTTCGTATGGTGAGTGTAGAGAACTGGAGACCCTTTTTACTAGAAACGAGGCATTCTCGCATCTGCATTTTGATTCGAAATCGAGAATAGATGTAAAAGTGGTGGACGGTGTGCTCGCGTGTCACTGATATCCTATAAAAAAACAAACAAAAGGAAAACCCTGTGCTAAAACTTTTTTTTTAAGTAAATATATTTTATTTGATAACTGGAAAACATTCCTTAATCATATTTATTATTAGAAACACGCCACTGATTCGCCTGGATAGGATATAATAATGTGGCCTTATTTAGATTTGAGAAAAACAAATACCGTTTATTTTTTGAATAAAAAAAATATTTAAGTTTTTTCGAATAAAAAATTGCATTAATGGCTCCCGGTCTGTTCGTAGTTTAATCACAATTGGTTCAGCCATGCCCACAGATAGATTTTTAAGTAGTTATTTGTCTTATTATCTTCTTTATCTTATCAGCTAACTCCCTGAGCTTACTAGAAGATAGTTACTCGAATATTACGGAAGATACTTCTATTTTATTTCTATGTGTAGATTCATATTCTAAAAAAATACTGCAAACAACGCATTTTTTTAAATTGATGAATATCCTGTATTTAATATATTTAGAAAACTGTCTTGGCCCACAATCGAATCGCCAAGTTGATAGTAGCGTTGCAGTGGGCGCTGCGCGCGCATCCCATTCACCGGCAACGTCGGGCGGGCGGCGGGGCGGAAAGGACTCCTGCGGCTAGGGCTGTCACGCAAAGAGTTTTTAAAATAAAACAATGCATCGTGTCCCCTCCATTAAATACACTTAACACTTTCTCACCTACGTAAACAATCTTTCTAATTTAATTAAACAGTGTGAGATCTATCAGTTTGCAGATGATACCTGTTTGGTAGCTGCTGGGCGTAGTATACAGGAGGTACTAATGAAACTTCAAAAAGAGTTTGACATACTGACGAAGTGGTCACACGACGTCGGTTTAGTACTCAATGCTGCCAAAACTAAACTTATGTATATAAGTACAAGCCACAACAGAAGTTCTTTTATACCTAAACTAATAGCGCACACACATCATTGCCTTCATATACAAAATACTGACAATTCGACACCCTGTAATTGTGATGCCATAGAAATTGTAAATAAGCACGCCTATCTTGGTCTAATAATTGCTAAACTGGAAAGAGCAGTAAATGTGTGATATATTAAGAGGGATATTAGCAAAATTTACATTAATTAAATATCTTACAAAACCTCTTTAATCTCTTCCTATATCGTTATAAATACTGATGGGAGAACTTAAACCAAGCTGCGTTTCAAAAGTCCCTTATCTAAAATTAATTTTAAAGATGATTATCGAAAACTATTTGCATTTTGTAAAATTATACCTATTCACGACAAAGTTGAACTAACATTACTAACTGAAAATTACTTTACTGAAAATTTTAAAAAGGTAGATAAGTTATTATACTCGGCACGCAGAACTGATAATCTAAAACTACAATTACCTAGATATAATAACTTATAAGGAAAAAGAACTTTAAACTATGTTATACCAAATCTAATCAATCAGTTACCTAATCTTTCAAAGACGTCACTACACGTAAAAACATAAAATATAAATTAAGTTTTTTTATATACAATTAACTTACTAAATACTCGTAACACTTTAAACAAATTCTCGTTCTATATTATTGGTTTACTTTACCAACATATTATCTTATTATAAATTTATGAAAATATATGTTATAATCAGCCTGTATCACGATTATTCACAGAATGCAATAAGCTCACCTTGTGATGTTACGCTCATCGCCTAAAACTATGTTATATTTTTGTACCCACAAATAGTTTGTCAATTAGAAACATAACATTTAATGCACCTAATTTAAGTTGATAATAATATTAATGTAACTTTGGTAACGTAATGTATTATAAAGTGTTAATTAGAATAATGTGTCGACAGCAATGGTGTACGGAAAAACTCTAATGAGTTTATGTTTACACTAAAACTATTCATCTTTTTAATCATAAATTTCTTAAATAAATAAATAAAAATAAATAAATAAAATTAGATTTGATAAGCCACAAATCTTCACAAAATAACACCGATTCCTATCAACGATGATTCGTGAATATTTTCATATTAAAAAACATCCAAATTTCGATAGGGTAGTTGGCTGGGTGCTACCGTTTATTTGAAATCATATAATCGATATAATGAAACCAAACCCCCAGCATACCACTGCAAGAATTCAAAATACTGTAAGTTTATTTTGCGTAGATTGGACCAAAATTAATATTAAAAAGCTGAGGGTAGCCCGAGTTATTTGTAACATTGGAACGTCAAATGTCTGTTAGTGTTACCTCGTTACCATATGTGCACCCAAAATGTCAGGAATTAAATAAGTTAAATTAAGCGCCATAATTCATAAAACAAAATTAAGCCATTAACTTATTGTGCTTGAGAATTATTTCATTCTATATTACGACCCACAGTAGAAACTAAAAATTCAGTTCCCTTTCTATTACATTATATATAGTATTCAGTGTTTGAGAAAAATAGTTTTCATCATATTTCCTTTTCCTATCATCACTTCGTCCAAGGTTCTCTTTCACCTTACACCAGAAATCATTTTTAAATTGTCAAGAAAGCCTGGTGTACGTATATTTCGTTTATACTAATACTTCCAATATATATAATGAATAAAAAAGTAAAGTAAAGTTACAACCTATATATGTCCCACTGCTGGGCCCAGGACTCCCCTCATTTCTGAGGGGGTTTTAGGGCAAGGAAGTGTCCGCCGCGGTGCCCCAATGCGTGTTGGCGAACTTCACATGTCTTCGAAATATTTTTTTTCTTATTCCTCAGACATGCAGGTTTCCTCACGATGTTTTCCTTCACCGCCGAACACATGGTAAATCAGCACTTAAAATTGCAATTAACAATTTCATTGGTGCCGGCGGCGCTCGAACCCGGGTTACTCGCGTTCTGTTATATTTACAACGAGTGTTAACCATCTGAGCTACCACGGCTCTTAATATTCTTATAATGAATAAATAATAAATAAATAAAAAGAGTCCTAATAATGAATCTAATTTCACTACAGAATATTTTTAGAATCTAAATACGTAAATCCATGAGTATTAGTAATTAGTATTATTATTTTGATTAACTTAAAATAATAATAAGTAATAATTAATTATTTTGATGAGTGTGGCAACCCTAAACTGAACGATACCGAGGAGAAGTGGGGAGTGCGTCCACCTCAAATCGGTTTTGTCAGCGCGTGGCCGCCGGGCGAGCCGCGCCGCCGCGTGGCCATCACGGCCGACCCCGACGCGATCCCACTGGTGGTCCAGAGCGGCCACCAGCTACCACCATGTCGTAACATGATGGGTTACAACAGCCAGGGCCACGGATACAACAAGTTATTTACCCAGGTGCGCGCGCAAAATTGTGTTTGCTTGATGGATGATGGAATTGATGTGCCGATATAAAAATAGTGTACAAAATATTAGAGGTTTCGTTTTTTTTATTGGAACGGCGTTCGTTCTCGTGTTATAAGTTACGAAAAAAGAAAAAATAAGTTTATTTGTAAGGTATCTATTTAAATAAATAAATATCATAAAAGGTAATTACTTAGTGGTTAAAGAAGCAATAATAACTCCAAAACTATATTTTAACTTTAAGTAGATAGGCACGTTATATTTAAATGCATTTGGAGTGGTTTCGTTAGTCTTTTTGTATTGCAGTTGTTCAGTCGAGTGCGCTGCGCCGCGCGTCGCATATCATTCGTTTCAAAGACTTGGATTTGGAAAGGTTTTTTATTTCTTTTCTATACGCTAAGTAGCTTATACTTTGGTAATTAATAAGCCTGGTAACTGTTAACTGATGCATAAGATATTTTTATTAATTCCATAAAATTTACAAAACTTTTATAATATATTTTACTAAATTCATACGAGTGCAATCGTCATCGGCTACATCATCAAAATAATTCATTGAAATTTGGGATTTATCATTATAAAAAAAATCTATTTTACACGTTCACACTACTTTCTTAATTCATTTATCGCTCAATGATGAAATGCTAGTGTCGTTGCTTCTAATTTTGTCTGTAGATTACTTTATCTTTGTGTATCCAAGACTTTTTAAATTAATGTTAGAAAAGAAATCATCTATTAGGCAATATATCATTTCTTAGAATGTATAATTCTCGCGTCTCGCCAGTGTGGTATGAAATTTGGCTAGTGGTTTTAAAGACGATAAAAAATAACTGTTTGACGAAGTAATACCACGGTAATCTTTACCGCAACCTGATGACTCGCTCGATTAGGGCCTTTAGACACTAAGCTACCTAGCCGTCAAATAGATTCTCATAATATCACTTTTCGAAACGTCTTACTTTTATTCCTCATACTCATGATACTCCATAAAAATCTAAGTACCTATATACATATATAGTCGATACTTTTAGATGCTTTGTACAGTCGTGCACAAAAAATCTAAAGTTCATATTTTCGTATTTTATTTAGAATTACATTTTTTTAAATAGAATAAGGGTGACAAGCTAGCACAAAGTCCACCTGATGGTAAGTGGTCGCTGTGGCCCATGGATATCTACATCTATTTTGATCAAGAATCAATATATAGAAGCGTTGTCACCCCTGAAGACTAACAATTAAATAATTGAATTCAAATTTAAGTGGTTATATGAGGAAGCACAATTTCGCTCAGCGAGCTATGCTCTGAGTTTCTCTGCCTGATAGACTTAAAAATGAGAATATCCGTAGTGGAACTAGAGTAATCGGCGTAGCCCAACTAAGTGGAATACTCGATAACTTTTAAATAAGACAAACACAAACAAACACTGCGTTTTGCCATCTTGACTATACTTATCTACCATCTTACTTATACGTGGTAGAACTACGCTGCGGTTATATTAGGTGAGTTGTAGCTCGAATGGGATGGCGAGGCCTGAGTAGGATAACGCTCTCACAGAATGCCAGCGTAAAATAGCAGCAAAGGCTGCTGTGTTTTGTATGGTGAATGTAGAGAACAGAATACCCTTTTTACAGGAAACGAGTCACTGCATCTTAGTCGTCAGGGTAGTTGTCGTCGTAGTGACTACGTATCGGCATTTTGATTCTTAATCGAAGATAAATCAAGATGTCTATAATCCATCCACTTACCAGTATCCACTTAGCGGATTTGGTGCTCGTTTGTCACCCTTTTCTCTAAAAAGAAAAACTGGTTTTTAAAAATTAAAAAAACGACAGCACAGCATGTTATTAATATCAATAAATGTATTATTATAATTTACAGACATTAAGCAGTGAACAAGCGAAATTTAATTTGTTTTTTAGTTTGTTTTTAATATACCACGTTTTTTCATCTCCTTACATTGTCACCGGAGCTGAACTATGTTCAAAATATAAAATCTCTAGCTTATCGAGAAGTCAGTTTAAAAACAATTACTAAATTCGACTTGAACACGAAAGCAAATTAAGAAAACCGTGGTAAAAAGGCTAGAAAGTTAGAAAAATAAAAAAGGTTGTAATTGCATTTAAAATAATAACAGTTAAAATTACGATAGTCTGTCTGTGTTTACATAATAATATGTAACTATATGAATTATTAGACTTTGTAACTCCACGTGACCGAGTTAGATGTGATAGCATAACATTCTAGTTTACTCTTATGTTTGATCTTCTGAGAGGTTTATTACGTGCGAATTTTAATGGGCGGCTGCAGAGTAGAATTATTCCCGGATCTTTGCTGTCAGTTCTGCCAGATTAATAGACTGTGAGATGCCGCTGAAGTCTGCGTGTTGTCAAATGACGTAAATTACGAATGCAATTTACAGTAACATAGTATAAACATCCCACTTTTAGAAAACAGACTTTTTTTTTACAAACAGCTCGCAGGTTGGCAAAGATCATCCCTCCCGTTTCCGCTGAGCGCATTCTGTACCGTACAATGAGGGGAATAGGGATCCAGGGGTGAATAGGGAAAAAACCAGGAAACATTTTGACGCTAAATATTAGTTTGCAAATCGTTCCAACTTTTACCATTTTTTGAGGGATAATATTAGATTATTTTAGGAACATTTTTATGGCAACAATTAACAAGCGTGAAATTAGCTGCAAACTGTCAAAAATGTCAGATAAAAATATATAACGCAGGAACGCCGGTTGAAATATTAAAAATAAATTCAAATTCAAATTCAAATAAAATTAATAATCACAATGTCAAGTAAAAATACAAATATAGTATTAAACTAATTCTAATACTAAAAACCTTAAAAATATATAATATAATAACTAAATTAAATTATTAAAAAAGAGGTCCTTTAGGCAAGGTTCCGAAGATACTGGCAGCGTTTCCCCGTTGAATAGCTAGACTAATTCTTTGTCCGAGGTAACTGCCAGCTCTTCGGTCTCCTGTGACGTCGATTAACCTTTTTGCTATTTCCTTAAAAAGGCTTATAGCGCTAGGACCCCACGGACCAAGGGTCTCGACACCGAAAGGGACAAAAATATATTCGGAGCCTAGACCCCTGTATTTGCAAACTTTAGCCTTTTCTGCAGCTTCACAAGCCGCACCGGCTCTGTTGTTGGTTCCACGTAGATGGGAAGGGGCCAGCGTGTCTGAACAGCTTGCATCCCAAACCAGCACCCGGCCCATCCTCCATGGAATCAAACTCATACCGTCCGGTCTCTTGCCATCGTCTCTTGCAATACCAGACGGCTCAAGTAGACTTGGCACGTTGACGGCGGCAAGAGACCGGCGTATGATATCGTTAAGAGCTGCATGTCTCGAGAAGCGACCTGCACTTTTTTGGCATGATAGCCCGTGATATCCTAGCTTGTCGACGTCACTGCCACACGGACATTTATGATGAGCGCAGACCGGAACCCCAAGCCGTAGACAGGTTGCGATTCGGAGCGTGTCAGGCTCAAGAAATGTTCCTGTATTTGACGAAGGATACGCGTGAAGCCAGTAGCCGGCCTCATGCGTACCCACGGCCAAAAGCCTAGCACGCGCCGAACCTGTACTAAAGATAAAAATAGTATAAACAAGACGCCGGTTTTTACAGTGTTTAAAACTTTGCTGTGTAAAAGCTATTTTGTATTTAGCGAATGCGAGTTATACGTTATTTAGTGTTTGGGCCATCATATACATAAAAGGTAAGCATCAGTTATTAATTAATATTACTATTATTTAGATTTTTAGAATGACATGAGAAATATGTATTTTTTGGGGTGAATAGGGACGTCTCAGTTATGAATAACTACGAAAGCGGGGTTAATCGGGATGAGGACGGGATGAATAGGAACGGCTTATGTATGAATAGGTACAGCTTTATAGGGTTGTCACTAAGCAGACTTAAAATTTTTAATTTATGTAATCTAGGTTATAATTAGGTTTATTTCTTTATATTTTATACCGATTTTTTATTTCATAAATTAGCGACTATTACACTGCGTCGTTAGTCTAGTGACTGCAAGTGTAATTGCCGAGCAGGGAGTCTCGGGATTGATTCCCGAGTCGGGCCAATTTTTGTTGGAATTTCGAAATATTGTACAGAGTTCGAAATTGTGTCCGGTTTAAATAGGCTCGCCCCCTATTTGTTGAGACTGACAACATTACTGACGAACAGTGGGTGTCACATTTAATACGTGCCTCAGTTTTTTTTGGGATGGGAAATTATTAAATGACACCTCCTGCTCTGGGCGGAGCCGAAAGTTTATTTTAGTGTAGGTATATTGAAAAGAAATATTTATATACCTACAATAACGCAAAATTGTTTTTTTAAAAATTGCAATAGAAACGTATGAAACTGGAAACAAATCTCTAGTTGAAATAGCTAAACAATTTAATATTGCTAAATCTGTTTTGCATCGACATGAACGAGAACAATGAAGAGTCAAGGTGGACAAAGAGCACTAAGTGATGAAGCAGAAAAATACATAATAAAATACATAAATATTTGTTCTGAGTGGGGGTATCCATTTGATACTTATGACTTACGGATAATAATAAAGAGATATTTAGATAGAGTTGGTATAGAAGTAAAAAAATTTAAAAATAACTTACCTGGCGTGGTTTATATAGAATGCTTTTTAAAGCGTCACAAGAAGGAAATTTCAGAAAGAATAAGCCAGAACATCAAAAGATCTAGGGCTGCAGTATCTCCACAAATTATAGAAGAATATTTTAGGCAACTTGAAAATTCCTTAAAGGATGTACCTTTATGTAACATCGTGAATTACGATGAATCCAATTTAGCTGACGACCCTGGAAAAAAGAAGGTTTTGACTAAAAGAGGCGTAAAATACCTTGAAAGGGTTATGAACCACACAAAGTCATCGACATCGCTGATGATGGCTGCATTCGCTGATGGAACACTGTTGCCCTGCTATGTAGTCTATAAAGCTGGCAATCTTTACAATACCTGGACTACAAATGGCCATGGTGGAAGAGATTTAGAGAAGGTGATGGGCCCCATGGTTTGAAAATTGTAAATCGCGGAGAATACTTCGAAAAGCAATAAATACTTTTGGCCCGATTGATCCTCTTTTGATGTTAATCTTATTCTTCATGCCCTTTTAACTGTAGATATAATCGCACTAACTCAGGCTGGTTTGACGGCAATACGTTTGAAGATTGGGTGGAAACCGTAGCCCTTCCATACTTCAATAATAAAACTGGGAAAAAAATATTGATAGGAGACAACCTGTCTTCACATTTGTCTTTAGATTTAATTAAAAAATGTCAACAACAAGAAGTACATTTTGTATTTCTGACACCGAATTCAACGCACCTGACGCAGCCACTTGATGTAGCCTTCTTTAGGCCTGTGAAAATTGCGTGGCGTAACATTCTCTTTACGTGGAAAAAATCTGAAGGCCGGGTAATGCCCACAATACCAAAAAATGTTTTTCCGAAATTACTCAAGCAGTTACTAAATAAAATGGAACCAAATACAAAACAAAATATTTTAGCTGGATTTATGAAAGCAGGAATAAGCCCCCTGAATAAAGACAAAGTACTCAATAGATTGCCTGGAAATAACTTAAGACACGAATTTTGTTTGGAAGAAAAAGAAGCAATTGATGAATCAGTGTTGTCATTGTTAAAGGAAATGCGATATGGGCCAGAAAATACTAGAACTATTCGTAAACCAAAGAAAATAAATGTTATACCTAGAAAAAGTGTAGAAGATAGTGATTATGTAGAAAGCGATATTTCAAGTTCAAATGCACTCTCGGATGTTGATTCACAAGTTGCGAGTACGTCTAAAAAATCAAAAAGAAGCTTAAACAAACAATAAAAAGATAAATCCAATACCTACAGGAAAAAAATGTAATTGCGGAAGTACCAAGACTAAAAGGTAAAGGTATAGGCAAGAAATCTAAACCACAAAAATGTAACAATAATTTAAATAAAGAATCTGAAGTATTACAAGAGAAACAAATTTTAGAAGAACAATTACAACAACAAAATTTTAATATTGACCTTATTGACATTGACAATACACCTGTTTTATTACTTGACGACAATTTTACTGTAACAGAAAATAATTTGTTTTATTGCAACAGAAGACCAACGCCAAAAAGACACACAACCAAAAATACGCATTTTATCTGATGTTATATACAAAGGAAATATGAAAAAAACTATTGAACTTAAAGCTAGTGCTAATCGTCTCAAAAAATCTAATTATTATGAGAATAACTTGGAACCTTCTTTAAAACCTAAGCCTAGTATATGTGGTCTCAGAAGACCTAGGTACTATAAGGATGACGTGTAAATTCTTCGAGATCTGATGGACTCAGATGATGAGTAATTGTTTTCTTTTTTTCGAGAGTTTTATGTTTTCTTTTATACCAAACCATGTATGATCTCATTTGCGGTACCTGTATACCCGTAGGATTTAGAATTATTTTTTATGTTAAGTAAAACTGTTTTTTTAAGTCTATAGGTCAAACGAGCGTAATTTTGTGAGTCGTGAGTCGCAGAATTTCGGTCGCTTTCATAGAAAGTCTTTTGCGACGCAAAATGAGTGGTCTGCACCGTACCAGAATACGAAATTCTGCGACTCACGACTCACAAAATTACGCTCGTTTGGCCTCATGACTTTTAATATTTTACTTCCTAAAAGCTATTTTATAATAACTTGATGCCTCCAATATATGTTTGTTGATTTTGAAATGTTTATACAGGTTCATTAATAAATAATTTGCAAAAGGTTTGTTCATTAAAAATAAATATGGAAGTAAAAGTGGATTTTATTTTAGACTAAATGGTAATCAGAAACTAGTATTATGTTAAAATGTAAGAATTACATACTGGTAATAAGTAAGTAATAATGTTGAATAAATTAAATAAATAAATAATACAAAAAAATAGGTTAAGTGAAATTATAATTTATTACACAAGTGGCAGCCCTAGAGAATTTCTCTATTGACCCTACTTTCGTCCCGATTCACCCCAATTTCTGGGTGAATAGGGATAGGCTATATTTTAGCTTTTTTATGCATAAACTGAAATGCTAATTGCATAATTTATATTAGATCACAAATATACCATCACGACTCAATTGTTACGATCGCCTTACAGCGAATTTTCTTTAAAAAAACGCCCTAACTTTCTCCATGCAGTTCAGATTTGTCCCTTTTCACCCCAATTTACGGTACTTGTCTGCTGGTATTTTTTTATATATAGAATAAGGATAACAAACGAGCAAGCAGTCCACCTGATGGTAAATGGATGCTGTGGCCCATAGACATCTATATTATTTATCCTCAATTAAGAATCAAAACGCAGATGCGTTGTCACCCTGAGGACTAAGATGGAATGACTCGTTTCTAGTAAAAAAGGGTCTCCGGATCTCTACACTCATCATACGAAACACATCAGTATTGAGCTGCTATTTTACGCTGGCATTCTGTGAGAGCGTGGTCCTTCCCTGGTCACCCATTCGTGCTGCAACCGTAATATAGCTGCAGCGTGCCTCTACCTCGTATAAAAGGCATCTGTACCCTTAGGTATGTCAAGATGACTGTCTATAATCGTGAACGCTTATAGAAAACAATAACAATAAATAAAATCAGCGTAACTTTACGTGTTACGAGGACGTTATGCTTAAACTTATTTATTTTTGAAATAGCTTCCTATCTTTCTAACCGACTGCCCCAGGAGGGTAACGTTTTTCCAACGTAATGTACGTACGTATATCTATTTTTTGGCGTGCTCTGTAGACTAATCCCCTTATTCATAAACATTTTTAAACACTTAATTAGTAAAATAGTGTTTTGTCACTTTCTAGCAACAAGTGTCTCGCAAATGTCAGAATGAGACAAAATATTTTGCGTTTAAAAACTTTTATGAATAAGGGGGTAAATCTCTTGATGGATCTTAATATATGGGGTGTTGTTAGAATCGTCTTAGTTATAGAAGTGACTTAGAATATAAAACCTTTTTCTTTTCAGTAAACTTTTTTAGGCAATTGGATTTCTACTGTAGCACATGGAGGCAACTGGAGTCAACTTCAAACAAAGAAAGCTTTATGCCCTTCAAAACAGAACACAGCAGTGCAAGTATCATCATCATCGTTACAGCCCATCACAAGTCCACTGGCCTCCCTCCATGGGCCTCCCCCAAGGAATGTCACAAAGCACGCTCTTAAGAATCAAGCGAATTTTATACGTGGTAGAGAATACGTGGCACGAATGGGTCAGCTAGACCGGGGAAGGACCACGCTCTCACAGAATACCGGCGTAAAAAAGTAGCTTAATGCTGCTGTGTTTTGTATGGTAAGTGTAGAGAACTGTAAACCCTTTTTACTGGAAACGAGGCATTTCATCTTAATCCTCACGGATGAAAACGCATCTGCATTTTGATTCGTAATCGAGGGTAGGTGTAGGTGTCTAATAGCCACAGCAACCACTTACCATCAGGTAGATTGTACGTTCGTTTGTTTTGTTACCCTAAAAAAACAAAAAAAGACTTCCTTCATCTCTTATTTGGTACATCATTCCATCCGGACTCGGGAGGATTCACTCCATTTAGTGGAAGCCGCCTTACATTTCGCTTTCTTCGTCATCCGTTGTCATTTCGAGACATATAGTCCATAGTCCAGCCCTTTGCCACTTCAATTTACCAACCTGTTGGGTTAATTCTGCTACTCTGGGTCTACTGCGGAAATCTATCACGCAGAGAACTCACGAGAAGTCTTTTTTATAGCTCGGACATTTCGCTTCTTTACACGGCCAGCAGACTTACGCACTGGTTATTTTGAATATATATAATAATTTTGAAGCAACAGTAGCCTAATGGCAGGGCGCGGATCGCGAACTCTAAAGGTCTTGGGTTCGAATCCGCCATTTGACTACTGTCGTGAACTACTTCTAATACAAGTATTTTCAAGCTTACCAGGAGTGGTTAAAAGTAATATTAGTAATGTTAATTAATAAGATTTCTAATATTTTTTTTTTAAAAATCTAAAAAAAACTGGTTATATTCTATTGTCGTCAAGTTTTGAGGTATACGTTACGAGATCCATCGAATCGTATATCGGTCGAATTTGGACTTACCTAGACTATTTTGTTCTAGTTAAATATACTCGTCAACGAATTCAAGCGTAGTGCACCCAACAATTACCAGTATAGGTGTGACATGGCCGTACACGTGACCTTTGTCTTGTCCATGTTCATTTTAAGGCCTATCCATTGGGAAACACTCTGTGTCATTGAGCATAGTACTAATATCTTCCAACGATTCTGCCATGAGGATTATACTGTCGGCGAATCGAATTTAAGTGACGTATGCGCTATTGATGTTGAACCGTATATTTTCCAGTCGAGAAGTTTAAAAGCGTCTACAAATGTAGCGGTTAAGAGTTTCATCATTATATCGTACCTTTATTGCAATATTGCTAACAAAGTAATTGAATAGCCATTATCGAGTTACACAAACCACGTCAGACAGAATTCCAAACCTTCTTATAGAACGAGCTACTTGAATAACATCAATATAGACGTCCGTTTCATTATATAAGTACGATAAACAAGTATTTACATTACGCTTGTACGAGTTACGAACGGATATCCAGAATCAAACGGTTGATAATGTTTGTATATTTAAACTATTCTGAATGTTTTAGAGTCCGTCTGGGTTGATAACACACTTTTAGCTACTTCTGCTGCTAAATAGCATTAGAAATAGTTAAAAGTGCGCTCCTGTGTTCTAGTCTGAAGAGATTGAGGGTCAGTATAATGACAGGCTATGAAGATATGTTGCATTTTCTTTCGCATGTACCACGGGGAGTGCTCTAAGGAATTGTTCGGATTATTCCAGCCGCCAAATTTCATGAACGCACATCGCGGCAAAGCTCCCGATACCATCTACACCATCTGGATGCTTGGCGGTCCACCACTGTACGTTTCACTAGAAGTTTTCTTCGGCGTACTACCTCTTTGTGGAATAGTTTACCACTGGCAATTTTTCCGAACCGACACAACTGAGGGACCTTCAAGAAAAGAGCTTACTCCTTTCTAAAAGGCAGGCAAAGCACCCTGTAATAACCCTGGAGTTGCACTTGTTCAAAAGCTGCGGTAGTCACTTAACATCAGGTGAGCCGTATGCTCGTTTGCCCCTCTCCTATAAAATTAAAAAAAAATCCATCTTAGTCGTCAGATATGACCACACGAGTGTATCTTTATTTATTTGAAGTTGGCTGCAGACGTCCATGGACTGCAGTAATCACTTACCATCACTTATCATCCAGTTCGTGTGTCGTTTCATTTAAAAAAATATAGTGCTAGACTCTTTGGTAAATAGACATCCCATCGAAGCGATTACAAGACACAAATATCGTTAAAAATATCTAAACGTTTATTATTATATATCTATATTATTGTTAAAAACGTGACAAGAGGTTATTGTTATTAATATAATATTATAAAATAGTAGAATATGAGAGCGAATTCTCATACTTGCTTACGCAATAAATTCATTAAAAGCAAGCGTACACATTCAGTATAGTGCAATTACAATTCAACCAAACTGTAATAATATGTGTCGGTCACAATAACACACGTAGTGTAACGTGGACGCCATAACATGATACTACCAAAATAGATTAAATTGTTTGGCGCCTTATACAATAGCTTATATTCCCTATAGCGACTCTAAGGATTCACTCTCAATTTGTTTTAATTTTTACTTCCTCTTGTATATCTCAACCTTGACTTTTAAATAAGTAGAAAATAGATTAAGTATGCAAATCAACACAATACTGCTTATTATGATGTAACAGTAGTCAGCTTCACGGGAATAACTTTGACGGAATCATTGCACATGTTGCCTGCGTCGAATTTTAATCTGTTCAAACGACTGGGAGGTTCTAGTTTTACACTCATTTCTGTTTATCTCTTTTTATTTTCTAACTCAGTGTTACTCTTTTTACTAGTGATCAGGTATTTTATCTTACTCCTCTGAATTAACTAATCTCCGATCTACGCAGAATAAGCTTCAGTATTCCGTTCTAAAATTAACAAAACTGCCATTCGTGCCTTGTCAATCCATCAGTTTACTCTCCCAGTATGTCTGTTTCAAGTTTTTATCAAAGATTATTTCATCTAGATGATAGCAGTTTGTTATAATAATAAGGCACTAACCTGAGGCATTTACTACAAATACAGGCGAGAGGTTTAAATTTAAAATGTTTTTCTGATATTATCGTATCGACTGTCTATTAAAATAAAACCTTTTGGAGCTTTGAATTATAATAATATTTTATAATAATACCTAGGTCTATGAAATTACCGTTCTGCAGTACTCCCCATTTCAAATCATTTTTTTTTCAAAATTTAGTAGATATTTATTTACTGACTAGCGTTATGTTTTCATCGCATTTTGAATCTTTTTCGTCATCATTGATACGTTAAAAATTAATATGAGTACCGTCGTAGCAGCAGCGGGACAACGTAGACAAGCGTCACGCAACATCAACTACGTTTACGGAGCGATAAATAAACGCACCACCTGTTATTGATTTGCCTGCTTCCGTTATGGAAATTTCGACCTGAAAAATGAATTCCGTGGTCGCCTGAAAACTTTGGTCGACCATAACGAATTAAAGGCGATTGTGGAGGCCGATGATACTCAATCTACGGCTGAATTAGCAGCGGCTTTCGACGTTAGCGTCAAAACAATATTGGTCCGTTTGCGTCAAATTAGCAAGGTAAAACAGCTTGACAAATGGGTGTTCCACGAACTCAATGATCACCAGGGCGAAGTACGCATCGAGACGTGCCTGGCACTGCTCAACAGGCATACATAAGAAGGAATTTTCAACTACATTGTACCTGTTTGTTAATGGATTCTGTTTGACAATCGCAACCGCTCACTAAGTTGGTTGGATCCTAGTTCAGCACCTAAACAATGACCATAAAAAAACTTACCCCTGGAAAAGTGATGTTCACTGTTTGGTGGTCTAGCGCCGGTTTGATTCATCACAACTTCCTACCAAACGGGATGAGCATTATTGCAGATGTGTACTGCCAATAACTGAACACAATGATGTAGAAGCTCGCACGTCTCCAAGCAACTTTGTTGTTGTCAGTTGCTCGTTCCCGCTGCTCCTGCACGACAACGCGCGACCTCATACGGTATAACAGACGGTCTCCAAGTCACAAGAGCTGAGGTTGGAAGTTCTCCTTCATCGACCGTACTCACCAGACCTTACGCCTACAGACTTCTTCTATTTCAAGAATTTGGATTACTTTTTGGCGGGAAAAAGTTCAATACCCGAGAGGCAGTACAGAAAGTGTCCCGTCCAGCTGATTGGCCACTGCGTTGGTAAAGATACATCAATTGCATCGGTGATTACTTTTATTAATAGAAATTAAAAAAAAATGTAGAAAAAAATTACGCCAACTTATTTCATAAAAAACGGCAATTTCGTAGGTAAAAACCTTGTATTTAAGTTAAAGGTGAAAGCAAAACGTTACCGTTACTAGAATTTAATGATTTTCTATATTTGCACGATTACTACATACTAACTAATTTTACACGTTTTTTACGTGTTTAACTCAACATATTTTTACAAATTTTTATTTATGACGATGTTCTCCCGTGTCCCAAGGCAAATCCCGAAACGTCAGAACTTAAAATAAATAAAAATATTTTCAAAGCCACAAAATCAGTAAAATTAGTTTTAGTCACTACGCTCTTTTGTTGTATCGTAGAGGCGTTACACGTTCATAAACTGCTCGCGGACGTACACCCAGACCCAGAACCAAACATGTAATACAGAAAAATCTTATTAGCCTTTATTTAATACGAACCTACCATGTTAAATATTCGATAATTAACTTTCTATAACACGGCAATGACATTTTACTAAATTAAATATTTCCGTACGTAAAAACTTGTATGAAAAGAAAAACGAAAAGCATACTAAAACCGAAATACCTTGAAATGAGGGCGTAAAATATGCAGGGGCTTATTAGGTCGGGGGGATGAATGACGTCACGACTTCGATCCGCGCCAGTCTGCCGCCGAAACATAAAGCCAGACTAGTCTTATTCAAACATCTCGATCAATCGTTTACTACGGGAATGGACCAGTGTTTTTCGAACTCCCGTGAAAAGAGATTCATAAAATAGAAAAGCGCGAAATCTTAAATTGGTTTAGTCCTTGTTATTTTCAATATTTGTGAATGAAATAAGATTAGCATGATAAACTGTCTCATCTTACTACTATGATATAAACGAATAACATATTTCTGTAGATTATTTTATGCTATACATGTTGTAGTGACATGACATTTACATAATAAATATTTCGAACCTCTACATTCTTATATAATAAATAATAATAATACAGGCTCTACATTTTTTTCGTTTGACATTCAAGCCAAATACAGTTTTACAACCCTAGATTTAAAGATAATGGTTTCAAGTATTTTACCAGCCAGTATTTAATAGTGCCTTAATTCTTTTTTAACACTGTGACTAAGGTGAGCATGAAATAAATGTTATAGTCTGTTTTTGCCTAACGTAGTAAAATACATTATTTACGTACTCGCTATTTAAAATCTAATGCGTTTTATTTATTTGTTTGTGTAGTGAGTATGCTTGTCTTAATAATTTTACGACTCATTTGAGCTATTATCTTATTGTATTTAATTATGTGTTAGTTTAACAATATTTTAAATTAATTTAAAAAATATTATATAATTATTTACTTGTTTAAGTAATAAAACTAATCAGTCTAAATTTTTGCATGCATTATTCTGATTCAACAAGTATAAGCCAATTGAAATTGGTTTATAATTGTTGGAAAAAAGGGTCATTCTCCCTTGCACTTGAGATTATTGTTATGCGCAAAATTATTTTATTATATTTAAGGGCATGTTCGTCTGACTTCTTGTATATGTGTGTGTTGTGCATTGCATGCAGTCGGCACGTCTCGCCGCCATCGCCCAATGACAAGCTACAAGCCTTTGGTAAGACTTTTGTTTTATTTCGCTTTTTATTTAACTAGTTCAAGGTAACATAACTAAATGTCAAATTTTATTACGAATTATCACTAAGTTTATTTTTGAACGATACCTCATTCAACGAAGTTTGAGATAAAAGGAAACAAAAATATACCCCCATATCAGATAATTCAATTATTACGGACTGCCAAGTACACGTACCTTCAACATTACCAACAGCCTGTCAAAAGTCCACTGTTGAATATAGGCCCCTTATTTGCCATTGTTGTCACGCTTGGCAGGCGAGTTGGCAACTGCAGGTTTTTAATCCCAGTCGGTATTAGGGAGATGCTGCTGCCTTTCTTCTGGTTTATATCCCTCTGTTGATATGGGCACCTTAGACCAATAAAATACTTATTTATTGGCATTATAAGGTCATGAACATAAAGTACAACAGAAATAATTTACACGCTCGTATAAGTTGTTTACATATAAAATCTCATGCTTATGTGAACCGAGTGTAGTAAAATATGTACCTAACTTATTTTGGCTTTAATATTAAGTTTAGTTCATTTGAACTTTAAAAAAAATATGATATAAAAGTGTTTAATGATACAGAAATATTTTGTTGCAAAAATCTTTTATGTATTTTTTTACCAATTATTTGGTATCAATTTTATTTTACATTAACGTTTTAATGGTTTAAGATGGGTTTAATAATTACTTTTTTGTTTAAATAATAAATAAAACGAGTAGGTACACACATATGAAATAAACTTATATACTTGGGTTCCATCATTAATTAAAAATATAATACATACTCATACATAATAATAATTATTAATATTGTTAATAATATTAATAAAGACTAAACTGAATAAAATTATTATGAAGTTGCACAATTTCCATTAACAGATCCGCGAACAATAGATGGAGCGCTGCGTATGTATCTACTTCCAGTGACGGCATACTCACGCACACATATGCATGCGAAGCATCATTTCTGATATCTACTGGAACCAATAACGTGATTTGCGTACATACATACTATGTGTGCGTCCAGCACTGGACTTACTTACGGTCTATTAAATAAAGAAACAAGAAAGTCGTGTTCGTAAGTGCGTTTCAAGTTAAGCATAATTTCGGCGTCATTTGACACATACGTAGCTGTCCGTCTTTCTTTTTAGTCCTAGAATAACTTAATCAGAATTCTTAATAATTACGTTAAACGTAACATATAGTTTAATTTTTCTTTGATTTATCTATACATCTATATAACACATAAATAAAGTTAAAGTTGAACTGTCTGTTTATAATGTCAAAATAACAGGTTTTACTAAATGCATGTAAAAGTATATACAGTACTAATAACAAAAAAAATTATTATAAAAATTTATAAAAAAATATTAAACAGGCTAAACTAGAAAATTATATGAGGAACGAGGTACTTACGGAGTTCCACAAGGCACTACACTCGCCCCTACTCTATTTAATATTTATTTAAATTAACTATGCAAAATTAAACTTAATAAAAGAGAGCTCAATCTGTCCAGCCAGTTGAAAAAGGACAGGAACGAGGGAAGGGTCTTCGTCACGGCTCGTTCAGCAGCGGATTCCCTAACCTCCTATGACACCTACGTTGGGTTCGGGAACAACGTATGTGAACCCCGCAACGGAGTAACACACAAGGGCGTCGACCTCTTCTTTTTATTCAAATAGGTTCAGGCGGGGATTGCGGGTCTTCCGCGGTCGTCCCGGTCCCAACGCCTTAATTCTTCAATATGTGCCGCGCTAGCGACACCAATGAACTGTACTTATTTTAAAGGTAAAGGATCCCTTGGGAATAAAACAGTAATTATCTTCAAACCCTTCCGTGAGAGAGTAATTACTTTCCCTATCACTTCCCTATATACTTTTCTTTCTTGATTATATTATATACTAGTAGCAAGTCTGACCTAGAACGTGTACAAAGAGTGGTTTTAAAGGTTGCATTGTATTCACCTTTTAGATATCTGACTACATCTATTTACGAGGAAACCAAAGTCCTGTCAGTTAGAAAGCTATTTATTTATAAATGTCTTAGAAGATATCACCGATTAGATATTCTAAATTTAGCAATAAATAGGAAAATAATAGTCAGACGTCCTATCAAAGCAATCAAAAGTGTTTTTGCTAAAAAGAAGTACAAACACTTAGCACCAATTTTATATAGCTATAAAGCAAAAAAAAAAAGATAACAACTATGATATAAAAAAGAAAATAATATTGTGGCTTTACACTTTTGATTACCAGGAAACAGAATCGCTTTTGCACTACAATTAACCTACAGAACATCATGTTCATGTTTACACACAAACACACATACACACACGCGCGCACACACACACACACACACACACACACACACACACACACACACACACACGCACACATACACATGCACGCACGCATGCACGCATGCACGCACGCACGCAAACGCGAGCGCACACGTGCACACTATTTTATTTCTATACATTAATATTTTGATTTTGGTTTTATTAAAAAAATTAAAAACCGCGCAAAAAAAATTAAAACCCATAAAATCCAATCGTAACAAATTCCACACGGGCGAAGTCGTGGGAGACGGTTAATTTTATAATACAATTAAACTCCTACATTTAGTGGTATATGACAAAATATTCAAAAAGCGCATAAAATATTTTCAATATTAATGTCACTTATAATTTTGGCATTTATGTTCACTCTCAAACATTGGGTGCGTTTGGCAGAAAAAAGCGCTAGCAAGCGCTTGTAAGCAAAATGGCGATCGTAAGCGGTAAGCGCTGTCAAATCGTAAGTAGCTATTTTCCTCTAGGACACGATGTTGGTTTTAACCGGGGAACCTAACCTAATTTAAATATATGTTTGTGATGTATTCATATTGAAAACTTACCAATCATGAATTTTTAATAACATGTATATGTTTATTCATGTCATTATATTACTTAAAACTAATATTGCAAAAAAACAACTTATAAACTCTACTTCAAAACAAACAAATTAAATAAGCAAAATGGCGGATTGTGTCAGCGCTACTGAAGTAGCAATGGTGTCCTGGCCGAAAACTATTTAAGCGCTAGTAAGCGCTTGCTAGCGCTTTTTTCCGCCAAACGCACCCATTAATGTTCGTTTGCAAATGCTCTTTCGTTACAAATATAACTGAGCGCGGCAATTTTAACCAATTTGACGTGTGACAGATAAAATCGAAGCACCGCGTCGGACAATTTAAAAATATTGCAAGCGACGCTAGTAAAGCAACTATAATGGTGATGCAGTCAATATATTTAACGATCCGTTTGGCCTTTGGACATTTGTATAGGTGTAATAAAATTGATTACATTCGTTATCTTACTCTATAGGTTTATTACTTTTTAATATTGTTTATTTTATTAAATTGACCATATAATTGAACATATAAGTATGTTTATGGCCAAAATATTTAGTCCTTTAGATACGCAGATTCCTCACGATGTTTTCCTTTACCCCCTATAAGGTGGTAAATCACAACTAAAAAATGCAATTAACAATTTCATTTGTAAGTGTAGAAAACCGAAGATCATTCTCCGCTAACAATGTATTCTACCTTAGATTTCAGGTGTGAAAACGCGTCTATATTTTAATTCTTAATTGAGGATAGAAAGTGTCTAGGCACCACAGCATCCACTTACCATCAGGTGGACTGCGAGATCGTTTGTGTTGTCGTCAATCAATGAAAAAATAAAGCTTAACGCTACGTTATGAATACAGGTACAGTATACATTTTTATCTAAGTTAGTTTTTCATGAGAAAATAAATCTTGTTATTCTTGGGGTTCATGCCTATCGACCAATGGAAGTCTCAAAGTACTACACTCTATACTCTACAGTGATATAAATAAGGGAGAAATTTTTGACTACACCTAAGCGCGAAATAAGTAGCATTGACATCTTCAATTCACGGACTCAATGTTACAAATACACGTGTTTAAGTTACGCTGTATTGGTAATGAGGCATTCCATCTTAGGACTTAAAGATGAGGATGCATCCGAATTTCGATTTAAATTGAGGATAGATGAAGGTCTAGAAATCGAAACAATGAAAAATTTCGAACACTTATAAAGTCTACCAATTCACTCTGATGGATCGCGGCGGGACTCTTTTCTGTTTTAAAATTACCTCATTAGCAATACGATGAGGCTATTGTCCATTAGTGGAACTAAGCTGTACAATAACTGCGATTTTATATCGGCCTTTAACTGCCTTGAGATAGACTTCTCTCTCACCTTGACCTTTAGCAACACTTACAAGGCAAAATGATAAACATTCTTTCATTTTTCTTTACTAAGGCTGCGGTGAGATATAAACTTAAACAGATAAAGAACACATAATATAAAACAGGCAAATATGAAAGTTTTTATTATATTTTAGTGGTTTTGGCAGGCTCTGATATTTTCGACAGTGAGACTTCTACATAAACTTCGCATTAAACTGTTTCAATGTTCCAAGTCAGCTCTACCTTGTTAAGTTTCGGGACCGATGCTAAAGTTTTTAAGAACGACAATTATGTTTCAATGACATTTATTACAATTTCGTTACAATAATGAATTAAAACTGATTTAATACAAGACTAATTTTATTACGACGAAGACTGTTATGAATATAATTCTAAATAACATAACATACATAAACACTCACGCCTGTCACCCAGAGGGGTAGGCAGAGATTACGGACTTCCATTTGGCACGATCCTGACATACCTCTTTCGCCTCCTTTACATCCATATATCTACGCATACATGCTCGTCGGTTAAGGGTACTTCTAACGTAGCCCATTTTCAAAATATCGCCAATTTGGTCGACAAACTTTTTTCTAGGGCGTCCCTTCCCGACTCGGCCGTTCACATCTGCCATATAAATTTGCTTTGTCACTCTTTCATCATTCATTCTTTCTACGTGACCAAACCACCGAAGCATTCCTTTCTTAATCCTGGTCACAACATCATCTTGCAT